CCCCACTCCCCTCCCAGAGCTCGGGGAGAGAACCCAGGAGTCCTGGCTCCCAGCCCCCCCTGCTCTAACCACTGGCCCCCACTCCCCTCCCAGAGCTCGGGGAGAGAACCCAGGAGTCCTGGCTCCCAGCCCCCCCTGCTCTAACCACTGGCCCCCACTCCCCTCCCAGAGCTGGGGAGAGAACCCAGGAGTCCTGGTTCCAACCCCCCCCCCACTCTATCCTCTCTCTTTCCAGAACATCATCCGGAAGGTCAACGGGCAGAAGTTCGTCTATAAATTCGTCTCGTACCCGGAGCCAGCCGGCGCGGAGGGGGCCCGGGAGGAAGGGATGCTCCGGCGGGTGGAGCCGGCCCTGACCGAGTCCCGGCTGGGGGAGGGGAGCTCCGGGCCCCCCAAGTCCCTGCGTGGGGGGAGCGTCCCCCGGAGTAGCCGTAATGAGTACATGCGCTCGGGTCTGTACTCCACTTTCACCATCCAGTCGCTGCAGGCGGCCCCCCCAGGGCGAGCGCCCCGCCAGGACCCCCCAGCCCTCTGCAGCGAGCCCCTGGACCCCTCCGACCTGGCCCCCGGGAAGATGGAGGAGATTCCCCAGCTGGAGATCAGCATTGAAGAAGCAGACGAGAGCGAACCACTGCAGGTGAGGTGGCCCTGTCGCCCCACCCCAGAGGTGGCTGCATCTCAGCGCCGGGCGAGCCGTCCCCGGGCGGCGTTATGTGCGGCTGTTTCCCAGCTGCCGCGCCCCAGCACTGGCTGCATTTCTCCCTCTTGCCCCCAGGTCTTTGTGGCGCCGGAGCCCCTGGATGCAGAGCGCCCCCCCCCCAGAGGCGACGCCTCCGCGGGACCCCGGGCTGCGGCCGGTGGTGGTGAAAGTGGAGGCGGAGCGGGAGACGGAGGGGTCCCCGCTCCTGGTCCTGATCGACGCGGGGGTGAAGCAGGAAGCGCCTCCTGCCGAAGAGGCCCCCAGGGGGACGGAGGCGGAGCTCCTGGCGGGGGAGGGGCCTCAGGAGGAGAAGGGGGAGGGGGTGTCTGGGGGCGCCCCCAGCGAGGGGCACGGCCCGAAGGGGCGGAAGCCCAAGGACCTGGCGCTGCCCTCCCTGCCCGGGCAGGAGAAGATCAGCGCAGCCGGCAGCTCCCTGCTGGCGCCCGGCGGGGGAGCGGGCAGCGGGCTGACGCCAACCACCGTGATCTCCACACACGCACTAGTGAGTGGCTATGGGGCGGGGGCGGGGGAGGGGGCATGGGATCTGTGGGGGAGGTGCCTGGGGCCTAGGGGGAGGGATCTGTGGGTGGGGGAGCGGCCTGGGTGTGTGGGGAAGGATCTGAGGGTGGAGAAGGGGCCTGGGTGTGGGGGGAGGGATCTGTGGGTGGGGGCGGGGCTTGTGGTGGGGGTGGGGGCTGCAGGGTCTGGGGGATTGGAGGTAGGGAAGGGGTCCTTGGGTGGAAGGGGTTGTGGGGAGGGAGCTGGGGTTGGACGGGGGATGGGGTCTCTCTCTCTCACTCTCACCGCCCCCCTCTCCTGTGCAGACCCCCGTCCTGCTGACCCCCAGCTCCCTGCCACCCACCATCCACTTCTGGAGCACCCTGAGCCCCATCGCCCCACACAGCCCCGCCAAGCTCTCCTTCCAGGTATGCAGCGGGCTGCGAGTCGGGAGTGAGGGGCACCGGCAGGGCTCGGGGGGGGAGGGGGGAGCCCATGGCTGGGCTAGTGGGGGACTGCAGGTCGGGAGTGAGGGGCACCGGCAGGGCTGGACTGGCACGGGGCTGCGGGTCGGGAGTGAGGGGCACCGGCAGGGCTGGGGGGAGCCCAGGGCTGGGCTAGCAGGGGGCTGTGGGTCGGGAGTGAGGGCTATGGTCAGTGGGTCACTCCCCCACCTCTCCCCACAGTTTCCTTCTAACTCTGGTGGGCAAATTCACATCCCCTCGCTGAGCGTGGACGGACTCTCCACTCCGGTCGTGCTGTCCCCGGGGCCCCAGAAGCCGTGAGTCCAGACATCCGTCCGTCCGTCTCTCTCCGCTGCTGGTGGAGCTTGCTGGGGCAGCGCCCGTTCCGCACCTGGATTCTTGTCCCAGCCCTGTGGGACTGTTTACCAGGGTGGCCGGATACGTCCGAATCCTGCTTCGGACCGAGAGCCCTGCTTGGTGTCAGCGGTGGGATGGGAGTTGGAGCACGCCGCCATTCCGCCTCTAGGGGGCGCAATGTGGGACATTCTCCTTGGTGCTCACTCGCCTGCCCCCCCCCGCATACACACACATCTTGGGCCTTGCAGCTCTGACCCCATGTTTCTGGGGTCGTTGTGTTTATTCCCAGCCCGGCTGGTTCAGGGTGTATTTTCGACGTGGAAGGATACGTCCCTCAGGGACTGGGGTGTGGTTCGGGCGCTAGTTGTGGGGGTGATTTTATTTATTACCCGGGGCCGCCTGGCCCTGGTTTGAAACCCTCCGTTGGTAGCCTTTGTCGGCCCTCCCCATGCCATAGCCTCCTCGTAGCTCCTCTTTGTGCGGGCTCTACGTCAGCCATCTTTGTTTCGAGAGGGTAGCCGAGTCGGCCATGTTTGTTGTGGCTGGACAGGGTGTGTGTGTGTGTGTGTGTGTGTCTGTGTGTTGGTCATCTTTGTTTGCTGACATCACACACGCCGCTCATCCCCGTGGTTTCGGCAGAGGAAGAAGTCCTGTTCTTCACTTCTTGTTCCTTGATTTACTTCCTGGAGGTCAAAGGTCACCTCCTTGAGTTGCCGTAGAAGCGGCAGGCGGAGGAAGCCCCGCCCTAATTCCCTCCTGAAGGTTGAAGGTTGCCTGTTCGTCACCATGGAAACGGCCGAGAGGGAAGTCCCGCCCGCTGATTTCAGGGGCTGTTTCCTTCCTTGCAAAGCCTGTTTCCTTGATTTATTTCCTGACGATCAAAGGTCACCGTGGAAATGGCGGCAGAGGGGTCCCACCCCTCACACCTGTCACAGGGAGGATTCCTTCATTTGTCTCCCATTTGTTGCCCGGGAAATGACAGCCGAGGAAGTCCCGCCTTTTGAGGACAGTCGCCAGGGGCTCCCTTGACTTCCTGCTGGCCCACGAGCTCCGCAAAGGAGGAAGTTCTGCCCTGTTTCCACTCTGCTACTTCCTGTTCAAAGTGCGCTGATTCTGGGGAAGTGCCAAAGGAGGATGTCCCGCCTTATTAATGTCTCATCTACTTCCTGTGAGTCAAAGGCCACCTATTCTGTGGACGGGGCAAAGGAGGAAGTCCCGCCCTTCTCGCTGCTGTTGACTTCCTGTTAGTCCCACAGGGGGCTGCACTGCATCATACGGGAAAGGGCTGCCTTGTCTTCTTGTTTTGATACCAAAATTTTCCGGGGCTGTGAGCTTCTTGCTCGAGATATAGATCTATATTTTTGTGGGGCCATCCCAAGGGGCCGAAATTTCCAAATGTCATTATTTAGCGCCCCGCGGGATTCCCAGCTCCTTTCTATTTTTCAGAGAGTATATTGATATTATTGAGCTATGTGCATTGAGCATATACAAATCTACAGGGCTTGGCGCTAATTACCTGCTGGGCCGTCTTTTTTAATATATAAAATGGTTCTATTTTTGAATGGGGAAGAGGGAGGGCTGGAGGGGGTGGAAGTGACCACCCTAGATTTCAGGGCGGGATTTGGAGAGCGATTGGAGGCAGTAACGCGAGGCCGAGCGCTTAATTTCCGTCCCCATGGTGTAGATCGGGGGACGCCGTCGCTGCTGGTGTTAACGGAGCAAGACTTCTCAGGGAAGGTGGCGTCAGCTGAATGAGGGCGGGAGGGGGGTGTAATTAGACGGCAGTTGTTGGCCGTGGCCCCGTTGTCTCGCTCATTGGCCAACAGACACCTTTGTGCTTGAAAGGCAGCGTCGGCCACCTCTCTGAGGTGACCCTCCTCCTTCCCCTCGGGGCGGTTTTGAACCGTCGTAATCATGCTGGTTTGCACTGGCAAGGCCCCTCGGCTCTGCCCATCTCTGCCCGGCGCATCAGGCACTTTGGACGACCTGTGACACCCTGGCGAGGCACCCAGGAGCGGCTTCATGCACGAGCCATGGCTGAGCCTGGAGCCAAGAACGGGGAGGCCAGGAGGGTGCCGAGGAATGGGCTCCGGCGACGCCCCGGCTGAGACACGCAAACCATGAGTCGAACACGTGCTGTGAGGCCAACATGGATGAGCCATGAATAAAACACATGCAACACATGAGTAAACCACAAGGAGCATGCGTGTAAACCATGGATCAATCACGTGTGACAACAGGAGGAAGTCATGAGTAAGCCATGTGTAAACCACGTGTAAACCATGTGTAATCCATGAGTAAACCACAAGTAACTCATGAGCAGAACACGTGCTGCCGAGGGTCGGCCATGAGCGGACCCCGTGTGCTCTCTGTGCCGGCTCGCCGGGTTTTCAGAGCTGTTCTCTGCTGTTGGGGAGAGGCCCTGGCCCTGTTTTTACCCCCTGCACCTACCCCATGGGGGTTGCCAGCTGCCGCACCCTGGCGCGGCCACCGTCCCAAAGCCGCAATGTGGGGCGGTTGAGCTGTTTAGTTTCCTGTGGGGCAAGGACGGAGCTGTTGGGGGGGCGGTGGCCGGGGGGGCGGGCAGCGGGGACCCGGGCCTGGCTGGCGACTGACGTGGCTTGGAGATTTCCAGCCTGGGGAATTTATCTAACCATGTATTGACATTGGGCCAGTATGGGGATTGGAGCCGGGGATCCTACCGTGGTGTGCGGGAGTGGATCCTGGGATCCTACCACGCCATGGGGGAGTGGATCCCGGGATCCCACCACACTCTGCGAGTAGATCCTGGTATCCCAGGTACCATGTGGGAGCTGATCCCAGGATCCTGCCGTGCTGGGGTGGATCCAAAGGCAGCAGCCCCCCCCCCCATCTGTTCTTTCCCATCCATGTCCTCGTCTCTGCCTTGTTAACCCCCCCGAGCCTCCCCCCCTTTGTCCTCCCTCAGGCTGGGGTGGGGCACCTG